GACAATATTGGTCAGCATGCTAGGCAGTGGTATTGTAAATTGGTGTTTACTTAAAGCTATGACTTCCCTTTGGCTAGCAGGGTTATTGTTTTTTTTTAATAAAAAACAACTTGTATATTTTGTGCTGAAAATCTCCCCCATCCTCCCAACCAACTCCTTTTGGCTACGATGTGCTTTGTTGTTAATTTGTTAAACATCATAGGTGTGTGTGATGTTTTATAGGCCTGAGGCTACATTCGGTCCAGTGCAACTTTACTGACCTCAATAGAGTTGCACTTGTTTACCCCAATACTGAGTTTGGCCTATAGTCCCTGTTGCATGGAGCTAAATCAGATACACATAACATGGTAGAGCCACATGAGATAGTTTTAAGGTACTATGTATCTCCTCGTGATAATTCTAAAATAAATAATTTTAAATCTTCATCCCAAAAGAGAACTGCATTTGAATACAAGGCTCTGATCCTCCAATTGACTGGGTGCATGCAAACTCTGTTGCAAGCATGGGGCCTAAATCTGTCATGGAACTGCAGTCAGTAGCTTTGGAGTCAGAGCTGAATACTTAACTGTGAATTTGCTGGTAACAGCAACCTGAAGGCAGAAGGGTCAAGCTACTATAGCAAAGGAATTCACAAGCTGGGTTGTTTTTTCTTTTCTAACTCTTGGGTATAGCAAGGTTAAACACAAAAAGACTAGGATGACAGAAAGTGACAGCCAGAAAAAACTGGAATTAGCCAGATTTGAAGCACAAGAGAAAGAAAAGGAACCCTAACATGTTGTATAGGCTGTATTCACTGCTTTCCTTTTGGGATTTTGAAATGGCCTGCTGGGTTTATCATGAGGATGGGCCTTCCTTCTGGTGGGAAAATCTTTAGAGAAAAGTTCTAAAGAAGCAAATCAAAGATAAATTTCCATAGGTTTTTTTTCACGCATCCTATAGAATTTAATAGAGGATTATCTCCCCACTATATGGTTTTAAAAAACCACAACTGTTCTCTTAAAGTCTGATCCAGCTCCTATTGAAGTCAATTGGAATAATTCCATTGACTTTAATAGACATTCTTTCAGGTCCCAAATGAGAGCTGGTCAGAATTTTCTAAATGTTGATGATTTTTTTCATTGTTGAAATTTTGAATTTCAATCAAAAATGCTGATGACATTTTTGGAATAATCCACCCTCAACCATCTCTAGCAATTTCACCCTATTAAATCAAATTATCCATAAAGGGGTAGGATGTAAGAGCCTAGAATTTGACCCCAGTTTCAATTTTTGATTTTTCATCTGTGTCAAATGCAAATTCATTCTTTACATCTTTTTAATCTGACACCTGGGGAAGACAAAAATGGAACACACTAGTGAACAGATTAGAAAAAGGAAGAACTATATGGACTAGGAATGAGAAAAGCAGTTCAGAGAACATAAAAACTGACCCAAACATTCAGTCCAAAATCCAGACAAACTTCTCTGAGATCTGAAACTCTTTTCTTATCATTAAAATTTACATACAGTTCACACAGCTTTAAAATTTTTGGCTTTGGCCAATAGATGTCAAAATACCATGTCAAAGACTGTCCTTGCAGCCAGACCAGAAGAAGGAAGTGATCAAGGGATCAGATCATCAGCTGATCTAAATTGGCGTAGCTCCATTGAATTCAGTGGAAATGTTAGTTAACATCAGCTGAGGCTCCGGCCCAAGATGTTCAGCAAAGATTTGGATAAACATTAAGCATTTTCATTAACCAGTGATAGGTGCTATATAAAATTCTGTAGATAGATACAGACTTTTGGGTACTCAGCTAGACAGAATTGCTGAATCTTTTGGGATTCAACTATCACCAGTAACCTCTTCACAAATGGGAAAAGTTTCCAGTGTAATCTTGACACAGTGGGCCACTCTTTTCCAATAAAATTGCACATATGCATCTGTGAGCTGAAGATTGTGCCATGTTGCTAAAATACTGCTCAGGATCAATCCCTCTTCCTTTCTTTTTCTTTATTTCCGTCTTAAAAATATGCCCATCCAAAACTCTTGACACATGTACACTTATAAATATACAATAATAATTGAGGACCGATGTCCCACAAAGTGATCCCTTACCAGATCTTACTCAACCTTCTGTCCAGTCATCCCTCCCTGTAGCTCTCTCATCACCACCCTATCATTCCTCCACAGTAGGAAAACTGTGGATCTTGTTATATGATCTGAAGATTAACAAATTTTTTTTTTTAGAGAATCAAACTGGTAAATGCATTTCAGGATAAGGAGCCCCTTTTGAAACTAATGCAGAGAAGAGGCAATCTTTGTTCCTCCTAGAAACTGACTCTGCCCCTATGGAAACCAAAAACTTGGTTTGAATCAAGTGACCTTTAGTGCAAAGTACAATTAAAACTTCTGACAGCGTAAAATGATATCTCCAGTTGGAGGCAGAGTTGAGGGTTGGCCAAACTATATATTGGCCAGAATTGGTCTGCTAACTTCGACTTCATGAATGTGACGGTGGAAGAGAAGGACCTCTTTCTTTCTTCCTGCATTGGCATGGCATAAGATTTAAAATACTTGGGCACAAATGAGTTGACTCAGCCTGAGATTTTCACTACTGGCACTCTAGCTGTCTCCCCAGCGCTTCCCTCCACTTCATCTTTCTCAGGTCATCAGTATTCCAAGGTGTCCCATGAAGACAAAACTGGAAGAGGGTGCTTAGGAGTCGCACATAATACTAACCATGGACAAAAGACTGCTGTAAGAATGTCCTACTAGGCCACTGAGAGAGTGGTCCTTTAGCTGGGCAGTCCTTCTCAAGATCATCTGAATGAAATAAGTGGCACAAGGAATGCCCTTGAACAGTTGTCTTTTACTGCCATCCAAAGGTTAAGGCCAGAACTTTCAAACTTGAGTGCTTAAAGTTCAGGCACCCAGATAAGTACCCTGATTTTTAGAGGTGGAAGCAGATCTGGCAGTCTAGCTGGACTGCATGCAACACAAGTCAGGAGGGAGAAGGGTTTGCCAAGCTGGCATAAAGCTCAATCTTGCTCTCTTCCACACCTGGAGATGCTGTGTGCAAAACTAATCCATTGGCATAAATTAGAGCAGCCCAGGGGACTGAAACTGCATTTGAGGATTGGTGTAGCATAGTTCCATGCCAGACATGCCCCCTTTACTCTGGTCACGTCCTTATACTAGTAGCAAAGGAGGTAATGGAGCAGGACCCTTTACAGCACTGGATATAATTCTTTCAGGGTCAGACACTGACTCTGTGACCAGATTCTGTGTGGTGCCACACACTGCATCTGGCTATGGGGGTTTTACAAACTTGTAATAAACCCCATAGCCAAAGAAATCAAAACAAAGACAAAGCTTATTGCCATAGGCAGCCCAGATTGGTGATATCGTAAATTAAAACTGCTATATTGCTCACTGATATTAATATGTATGAAACAGATCAATACACACTAAAGCTATTTTGTGTGTGCCCCCCAACCCCCTTAAAGTCTCACTTATAACACATATGGGGATTAAAAGAAATAACATGCTTAAAGGGAAGGTTAGTTAATAAGATTTAGGGAAAATCTTTAATGAATGCTTGTCCTACTAAAGATCGTTCTAAAATCTACATATGTTTGCAGACAATTAGGGGCAAATTGTACATTGACAATTTACACCTGCTGAGACTATGCCTCTTAGGGCTTGATCCAACTTCCACTGAAGCTGGTGAGTGTTTTTTCTTGGACATCAAAGTAGCAGTTGGATCAGACCCCTACACAGTATGAAAACAGAACAGCAGAGAATCCATTGACTGTGTTTTGCTGTGTGGACTTGAAACTCTTCTATTCCACCACTTCCCTAACTTGTGTGGTTATTGATTGTAAAATATTGTCCATTAAAAACATCTGTTACAAGAATTGGATGTATCATTGTTCTTTTAAAAAATACAGCATTTTAGGGCCTGATCCCAAACCCAGTAGAGTCAGTTAGCATCTTTCTACTGACTTTAATGGGCTATGGATCAGGCCCTTAGGGCATGCGGCCATCCCATCTAGATGAGCTTTAATATTGTGTCTGCCTGCTATTGTATTTGAAACAAAAGTAATGAGCTGCATAAAGGGGGGGGGACCCACATAGCCTTCAAGAGTTTGGAGCATTTCTGAGATAACATTTTATTCATGTAGCTGCAGTATTTTTCCATGTACCATAGACTTAAAGCCAGCTGTATTCCACCTCTATTCCCACAGAAGATACCAGTGAGTTGTTTTTACAGCCCAGTTAGGAGTCTCAGAAGTAATGCAAACTTTAGATTTAGCTTGTTAACTGAGTTCCAAATACTCCAGGTTAAAAATAAAAGTTATTGGAAAGCCAGAGCCCACTTAGCCATCAGTCAAACTGCAGCCTGCCACTAGCCAATGAATCCAAGATGCTTAGAAGTGACTTCACACAAACACAAACCTTCTTTGCCAAAGAAATTAGGGGTGTTTTGTTTGTTTTGTTTGAGATTATTTCCATCTGGTTGAAAAAACTACCAGTGAGTGAGTGTGTGAGAGAATTCAAACTGCATACAATGTGCCAGCTATGCTAACTGATTGCCCAGAATGGACATGGAGCTACTGAAATCAGGTATGCATAGACTCATTCCTACCTATTCACAAACCCCACCGATGGGCCAGTGAGGAGGAAATCAACCTGCCCAGTGCTAGGGAATCTGACAGGTTTCTTGCAGGGAATCCTAGCTACTTTTCCTCCTCCGCTGTGTTTCTCTACTCCAGTATGTGAGAAAGGCCCAGCCCATCTGGAGCAGCAAATGGTGCAATTCACTGGGGGAAGGGGGGAGGATTAGAGTGAAAATAGATCCGGCACTGGATTTTGACTGTGGAGATCATCTGACTTGAGTTAACAAACCCCAATTTAAAAGAGTGGGAGAGAAAAGTTTGTTCCCCTCCCCCTTATTTTTTTAAACTTTCTTCTTGTGTCGGTGCTTGAAAGACAAAAGCTCCTCTCTCCTCCCCCCCTCCAGTCCTCCTAAACTTCAGCGTGTTTGTGTGTGTCGGTGTCCTACGCTGGGATGATGGATGGCAGAAGTGCAGAAACACGCCAGCAGCAGCAGCAGAGGCTCCTAACACTTTTTTAAACTCTCTCCCCTCCAAACTATCATCAATGAGACTCCTCGGAGGAAGAAGGGAAAAGAGCCAAGCTGCAGCCGGGATTTGTGGCGGCGGCGGCCGCAGCAGCAGCTTTTAAAAAAGGCACCAAAAGGAAGGACGTCTGGAAAGTCCCTCCCACGCCTCCCCAAGTTTATGATGGGGGGCTGAATGAGCAGCCCTGCTCCGGAGCAGCTGCTGGCACAGTGAAAACTTCCCGGGTTCTCTCTTTGGGTAAAGTTTATTTTTGATGATTATCCCTTTCTCTTTGGGGTGCCTGTGTTTGGAGAGGGAGATTGAGGAGGGGGCTGGGAAGTAGGGACGAAATTTCCCTCAACTGCGCCGGATCATGCTTCCCTAGCACAGAGGGAGAGTCCCCTGCTGCCAGTGTTAGGCGCTGCACTTTGCCAGCAGGTAAGTGGCACGGGCTCTCCTGCGCTGGTTCCTGGCGGGGGCGGGGGGGGGGGGGGGGAAGACGTTTTATCTCAGCAACTTTGGGCAGCGGGTTTTTCTGCTGTTGTGCTTGGCTCACTTTCCTGCTTGTTTCCATCGCCGAGCTGGGGAGGACTGAGCACGAGGGTGCGGGATCCCGATCGCAGCCGGAGCTGAGCCTGAAACTGACCAGAGTCGTGGTCGTGTTGCGCGGTGATAATTACACCCCTGCCTTGGCCAGACTGGAACCCCGGGGTCGCCTGATTCCGCCGGAGATCCCGGCAGTTCCGGGTGTTTTCCGACCCCTCATCTCCAGCCCGCCGAGGTGTAGATTGCTCGGGGGAGACCTTTGCTGCGAGAGTCTCCTTCCTTTCCCCCCACCTCGCTCCTGCAAAGCTGCTTAGATGGAGCCTGAGGGGAGAGGGGGGTGCAGCCCGCTGCTTGCCTGTCCTCCGTCCGTGGATGGGATTGTTGCATGCATCTTACTGTGGGGTGTCCCCACCCCTATTTTGGGGGTGCAGTGCTGCTGGAAGGGTACAGTAGTAATACTGGCAGAGTGATTTCTACTGGATGGAGTGAGGACCGGTGCTTGAGAGACAGTCACTTCCCTGCAAGTTCTGCCCAGTGCTGCACCCAGGCTGTGCCGAGACCTGCCTGTTTTCCTGTTGAAGGTAGCTTTGCTCCCCAAAGTGATCAGTTGGTTTACTACTGTATTTTAAGTCGTCCCCCCCCCGTCTTTTTCTCTCCCCCCCCCCCCCCCCCCCCCCGAGAGGAGCAATCTTTCAGCAAGTATATTTGCTGAGGAATTTCAAAAATCCACTGCTGCAACTTGATCCCTGTGTGATGAGGAGCGGCTTGGGGAGAGCTGGGCGCCAATCCTATTAAGGATTTAGAGAGCTGAGAGTTTTCCCCTGGACTCAGTGGTTTTAAAACAATCGGGGTGATCGGCTCATCTAGATGCCTTTTCTGCCTCAATTGCTGTCATTTCCTAGGAAACCTGATTTTTCCAGCCCAGGAGATTAGGATGATTTTTCAATAAATAAAATAAGATACTGTTCAGAGTTTGCCTACAATAGACTCTGTAACTTTCACTCTCACCATGAGGTGTGTGCCAGCCCAGTTAAAGGATTTTCCAGTTGTTCACATACTACTTGATCACAAACTTGGAAAGAGGGATTATTCAGAAAGTTTTGTGGGCCAAGATTAAGTATCTATCCCACAACTCTTTTACAGAGGGCAAAGCTCTATTTTATCTATCATGTGTATATGTTCATGTATGTATACACACATTGTAACATTGCAAAATTTGAAAATGTACTAGTACAGCCCCCCCCCCCCCAATCTACTAAACCATCTTTTATCACATTGTTGATGGGGAAAAAATAAAATAGTAATGATCCATGCAAAAAAACAAAACAAAAAAAAACTAGCCCTGGGCTAGTGAGCAAGTACATTTTTAAAGGCTATTTTATGTGTATATTTTGTTGTGTGTGTGTACACATGTGTGTATATGTATATGGGTGTGTGTATGTGTATATATAATCAATGATATATAACTGAACACAGTCTTAACTATGGAGTTACCACCACATCTGTGTGTGTGTGCACGCATGCATGTCTAATCTGTTTAGATTTCTCTATTTTTGATACAATTAAGCATACGCCCTCCTTTACACATATTGAAACAAACATTTTTATTGGGTTATGATGAAGTTTATATCTTGTTAGAGCTTAACGGCTATAGACAAAAGAAGCAGTTGTAAAACTTTTTTTTTTTTTGCAATTGAGGCTCTTGGGATGTACAAGAATTTGAAAGTAAACGTTTCACAAGCATGCTGCATAAAATAGCATTTAAACAAATATTGTATTGGCATGCACTGTGGAGCTAGTGCCAAGAAAGTAAAGTAAATAAACCATGAAATCCAAAATATACAGATGTGGAATAGACTGATTTGTTATAAGACTTACCAATTTGATCTGTTTGTTCTAGCTACCTTACATTTTTTTAAAAAGATTTTTTTTAGGTTACTAAAACTAATTCGTATAACTTTGCTAGGGGAAAACCAGAGAATTCTGCCTACATTTTACATTTACCTGGGAAAGGAAATCCTGATAAGTTATCATTTACACTACTTTATTGTTTGAAATGCATGGTAATTATTGTATATAGCCTGTACCCTTGTTGAATTGGTTTGATTCAACTTTTCTGAAGTGTGGATATGGTAATTTGCATTTGGGGTGGAATTCCAGGAAATTTTGACACCTGTCAAACTTTAATTTTACTAAAAAGTAGCATATTGCATGTAATTAAAAATCTGATACATTTTTAAAACAAGAATTAAACTCAACAGGATTTCTTTAGTGCAGTTAGGTTTTTGAAACTTGTCATACTTTGATCAGATGACCTAGCCAGAATACCAAAAAGTGCACAATCAGATCAAATAAAATTGAACTATATTTCTATGGATCCCTGTCTATCCAACCTTGTCTTGTATGTTTGTAAAAGAGCTAATCTTTAAAGAAAGGTGAGGTAAGATTCACTTGATCTTGATTGTTGTTATTGTCTTAAGTATGTGACTTTGAAGTGCCCAGAAATGCAACGGCTGTTCTTCAAAAAACCCAACAGATCTTGAGGACTGTTTCCAACTTCCTTTCAATGTCTTTTTTTCAGTGTGTCAAAGGGGATGTATACAGATGGACAAATATTGTTTCTATTTGTATTAGCTCATTAATTTTAAAAAAATAGAGAATCGAGTCCAAATTTTCTCTGATAAACTGGAGTTGCAGTTACTTCAGATTATATGTGTATAAATGAAAACAGAACTTGATCCTACCTCTCTAGTACAAAACGTAGATTTTCATGCCACCTTAAATTTAAAAAAAAACGGGTAGTGTTGTTTCTTTCACCATGAAATTATATAAATGATCACATTTTTGGATGAGATTTGAAAAGCAATTGAAATGTTCATGGTAAAAGACATGTATTGTTTTGCTGTTTTCCTTATTCTGGGGGTTACCTTAAACCTGAACCAGGTCTTTTCCTTACAGTGTCTTGCTAATGTCACCATACAGAAAGGACTACTTACTGTATGATGGTTTTGGAATTACGTCTGGGAGACTATCAGTGATTTAAAGATGACAATTTTTTTTCCTGGTCCTGATAGTTTACTTGGTGTTTTTAAAGCAGCTTTCAAACACTTGATTTATTGTTTTGGGACAAGGTAGCACATCAAAATAACAACACCAGGATGATCTCAGTTCTTAACTTTAAAGTAGAAACCCAGTTGACTGCCTCTCCCTATTTTTGGCCTACTGTAAGCCAGTTGTTTGTACTGCAATCTGAAAGATACACACATACGCTGTGCTTTTTGTACTCTGAGAAGTGCTCTGTTCACAAGTTTCCAAGTGCAGATTAGTGCAGATAGTGGATTCAGTAAACAGTCATCAAAATCTATATGTATTTGTGCAGCAAACACCTATCCATTGCTTCACCACAAAGAATCCACTTAATAATCTGGTTGAGGATTCTAAGTCAGTGAGTTTTTAAAAGAGGCTACTTTGGAACATTAGATGTGACTATAGCATCAAACTAATTAGTTGCCACTCCAAACCATAGCTTTCAGGGCTTCACAGAAATTTGATATTTGCACTTTTCACTCCCAGTTTAGTCAGCTCATACAATAGTCTGCATTTCTACTGATGGAGAAGATTCCAAAGCATTGGTTGAAAACTGCACAACTGCTTTATAACTTGTGTAAGTATTCTAAAGAATTGTAGCAAAAATTGACCGGTAATCAATATCTTACAGCTACTTCTGCTACATTCCCAGTGCCACCTAAAAATAAATATTCAGTAATTATGAGGGATAATACAACAAAATAAAACCAGCGTGAATGATTTCCAGTACAAGAAGACATTGTGTTGGGAAGCAAGCAATACTCACATACATACGTAAAAGTGTGCGTGTAATATCAAATAAGAGAGACATAGCATTAGATCATGTAAACAGCTGATCAGGAATAGTTAATATGTTCCTTTCTGAAATCCATTGAGAAATCATATATCTGAGATATGTACAATAAGAAATTATATCTTCCATACTAAGCTTGATGAGGGAGGAAGAAATTATTTAGGCTGTCCACTAGTGTATGTGTCCACTAGTTTTGGGTGTGCACTTTGAGATATCTAGGACCTGATTTTCATAAGTTCTACACAGCAAGAACTTCAGTAGGATTTATGGTTGCTCAGCCCCACTGAAAATCGGGCCCTAGATGTTCTCAAACTGGATACCCAAAATCAGGGCATTTTTGAAAATGGGGCCTTAGTTTTTTGTTCAAAGCTTGATGGTAATCAGTGCGAGCCTTGTCCTGTTGATAAATTTTTTCATGTCTCAAATCTTTTTGAGACTGTCACCTTTAAGTAGATTATAAATATCCAGAAAGAATGAAATTAGAATTTTAGGTTCCAGAATTTATTATTGTTATTTTATTTCTTCTACCTTCTAAGCGGTTATTCTCATTCTAAAGAAGTTTAGCAGCTTTATCCTGACTCAAGACTTTTCTTTTTGTATCTGCAGGAGAGAAAAAATTTAATTTTGTGAAATTGCAAGAGTAAGCTTTAAGCTGTCTTTGACATTTTGGTTTAACTTGAATAGGTTAATGGTTTTTTTTTTTTTTTTTTTAAAGAAAACAAGTTGGTGGGAAGTGTGTTTTAACTGTGAGTACCCGATTTCAGCCATTAGCATAAGAAAAAAAGTTTTAGTGCATTTACTATTGTATTGAATGAAGAGTTCCAACAGTCAGGGAAAAGAAAGTGAAAGGCTGTAAAGAAATGATGGTCTATTCAGATTATTCAGCAGCCCAAAGCTCTGGTCATCTGCCTCTGAAATCTGTGATCTGGATATCACTTTTATCTTCCTGTGCCTTTCTCTTGCCTTTTTCACACGTTCACTTTTGTCAAGGTTTATTGATCACGTTTTCTTC